GGCAAGAAACCGGATGCATCGTCCACCTCAAGGTCCACAAGCTAAGATCCATCGACCCGAGAAAAAGACATAATAGCTCATGTGCCTCTTTTTCTTTCTACGATCAGACGATGGCAGTTCACACGCCTTCCGAATGATAATTCGTGAAGAAGACAGGATTCGCCAGCGATGCTTCAGATCGAAAAGTAGCACCAGGCGCACATGCCAAGAAAAACCCACCCTAGTTGTTTCTTCAACAGGCCAATTGTTCCTGTGCAGTTTTCACTGCAGGAAACCCGTTGGTCCAGGGACTTTCGGGGTTGGTGGTTCTCCCCTCCCGCTGTCATGTCGTGGCAAGCATGGGAACAGACAAACAGAGGCCCAGACGTTAGAATGAAGCATCCACTCGTCTCGCTCCGCTTGCGCCACCAAACCTAAATCCAACCTTGCCGCTCGGTTTATGGAGTCGTGCGCGGTGGCGGGCTTCACCGGCGGCGTGCCCCTCTCGCTCTCATGCAGTGCGCGGCCTGCTTCGGGCAAGCGGAAGCGAAGCGGCGCTAACTGGTGTGATGTTTTAGAGCCTCAGGCATGGAGTATGCGCAGGACGATTGACAATGCACGTCACCATAAGGCTGAGAAAACACAGGCCTGGGGCTTGAGTCATTGTGTAGGCGGTTACACTCGGTCCCGTCGTGAGCATGCGATGTGAGGGCAATGTATGATATCCGCTTTTCGAAGGTGCGAATGGGAATCATACCCGGTGAATTTGCTCTGGTCTCGCACGTGTCTGTCGTCCTGTTTGGCCCTGTGCGACGTTGGTGAAAAACGCGAGCCGCCTGCTGCGTCCAATGGAATGGCTTATGTACGGTTTTGGACGACGTCTTGCTGTAGCAACCTGTCGTGTCCAGTCGATCGCAGACATGTGTGATGTGATGTCATTTACCTCGTGGTTTGGCTGGATGCTTGACCCCGCTTTATAGGGTATATAGATGTGTCTTGCGAGCATGAAGGTGAGGGCGTCCTCGCACAGAGATCTGTTCGTATTTTCCTGCTTGACTAGTAGCGCATCTAAGCCTCGTTGATCTAACGGCTGGATTGTTGGAGGAGGCACATGGTCGTGGATGGTTGGAAGTTCCGTTGTCGTCCATATAGAGCATTCAGAGGTATGCCTACCATGTCCTTGATAATTCGCTTCGATCTCGTGTGTTCCACGCTGTAGGCCTTGATACGTGTCGGAGATGTTTACGGAACGAAGCTTGGTCGAATTCCATGCTAATAGCCCTGTTAGAACAAATCATCATCCGACTTCCAATAAATCAGCATGTCCCGTCATGACGACTCAAACCCCCATGACCGGCAGATGGAGATAGAGGCAGTGTCGTCCGATCGACCGCCCCACCTCAATGAATCAAACTGCAGGTATTGCTGTGGTTTGGGCTGCAGTGGACCGCAGTCAGGAGACGATGATGGAGAGGGAGGGTGTGGGAGTGATGCGACGTCCACCGTGGTCGGTTCTGACAATGATGTCGGAGATCTGGAAGAGCCTTTGCATGTAGAGGAAGTTTATGAACCTCAACCTTTCGGTCCAGAAGATTCCCGGACGAGTGAGAGGCAGCCAGGAGGATTCACATACCGTTCAGAAGAAGATCTCCGATTTCATCGATTCTTGCGCGCTCAGAGGTCCATCTTTATCTCTTCGATACTGAACCGGAACCGCGATGAGCTGGACAGCCTTCGCAACGAGGCTACGACGAGATCGCACAGCAGCGCGTCATCTGAGGTCGGAAGCGCGGACAACATGTCGCAAGAGGGCCTGGTCGCTGGAGTGGGCACTTGGGGCGATGCTATTCGACACGACCGCCTTCCAGGCCTTTTTCGCAAGACACCTCTTCGGCTCAGTGCCCAGTATGAGGATTGTCGTGGTCCGTCATTATCGCATCTAATTACCCAGGACGTTACGACGCTGCTAAGTCCAAATGGTCGCTGGGGAGCCCAGAGCTTCCCCAACGCCTACTCCACGCATTACGACGGGGACTCGTTTGCGCATTAATCTTCCTTGGATAAGCTTTGCCGTCGGACTTGAATGGGACTATCCATATGCCGAGTTTAGGGAGGTAGAAGGATATCAATCATGTTGTGTGCATGGGCTGGCAGACTGTTTCCAAATATGGATTGCGCGAATTAGGCGTTTGGGAATGCTTTTGTAAGATAAGAACTCGAGTGCAATATGCAGTTACTTTAAAAGGCTTGGGGTAATGCATGGCCGGGTCCGCGGTGACTGAAACGAAAGCTTAGCAATTGAGCAGATGTGGTGCGTTCCCGGAAGTGCAGCCCGCGTGCCTTGCTGCCATGCCTATATCGGTGTATCGAAGATGGGCGTTTATTGACGAGTATTGCTGGCGTGATCTAAGCGAGTCGCTTGCAGTGCAGCTGAGCTTGAGATGGAATCTGCAGAGGATGCCAGGGCGGCGGTGCAGGCTAGTGGTCAATATGATTCGGTCTGGTCCAGCGTGTATTATTGTGAATTTATGAGAGCTCGGATCGCCCGCGACTGTTGGAGTGGAGATGAAGGTGCGGCTTTATTCGCCTGGAAGGACCACTCTCTGCCACGCGAGTGAACGAGTGCGCGTCACGGTCACGGGGAAGCGAACGAAAAACAAAGCTGCAGCCCGAGATAGAGGAGAGGTCACGAAGAGGGCAGTTGGGCGGTGAGAGATGTGGAAGACGTTGAGATGACAAGCGCATGTGCTATGTTGCTTCACGTGGAAGCATCCGGGTGGTGGACCATACCCTGCAACGGCGCCGATCCCCCGGTCCGACGACGACTGAGAAGATTCCGATTTCTCGCGACTCCAGCGTCAGAGCGTCTTCTTGTCTGCCACACAAGACCCACCTTCCGCTCCGCCTCTCCGCTATGCGAATCACAGCCATGGGAATTGCGACGGCTGCTGACTGGGCACTCTAGTTGGGCCTAGTCGACCCAGGAGCGCGCTGTGCGCATCGTGAAGACGCAGCTCGTCGGGCAGCTTCCAATGCGCCCACATATCCGAAACTCGTCACCCCTTTTGCTTTTGCGCGGCATATATGTCTTGATCTGGTCACTTTTCACATGCATTGACAGACCAATCTCGACCCTTTGGCATCCCTGGGTACCTCCTTGATTCGCAGGGCCACGGCCGAGAACTGATCGAAGCACATCCTTGTCTCAACAAGAAACACAACGTTTCTCACCGTCTACACGCCTCCTAGACCGCCAAAGACGTCCAAACTACTTTACCGTCTATACGCTGGACCATCGGCATCAGACACCTGATAGCTTACTTACTTCGGAGCGACGTCTGCGGCTCCGCCATTCGCTCCGCAACAGCTAGTACGCTCCACCGCCGCTACGTCATTCTGCTTGCCCCGAAGTCAATTGCTAGCCCGCAATTCAACATCGTGGGGTTTCACATGAATCCTGAGAACCTCTCCTTCAAACGCTTTCCGCAATTCGACAAGTCGCTCGCTGTGTGGGAACCGAACTACGGTGATTGGTGAGTGCGATGTCGGCTCTCAGCTGAAGAACATCATGAAGCGACATGGTCAACACATGCGAAGACATGGCTAACTGTGCAACAGCCCCTCTGACTACTACTGAAGTCATCGAAGCAATCCTACCATTCGTCCCGTCGTCGACCGCCTTGCCCATACAACCCAAGACCCTGAAGGCCCTATTCGAGTAGCCACAAGGTTCTGCATAACCTTTTTTGCGTGGTCTTGGCATCTGTCTAGGCTGTCATCAGTACCACACTCCTGGCATGCGACACATGCAAGTCGTGTGCACTCATATGCTTCCGATCCCGCCCGATTGCTTCCCCGCGTGCCCATGCGCATCCGCACACAATCGACACTAGTCGCGCCGCGCCAGCAGGAGCTTATACTTGTTGCATCCAATTACATTCGCGATTTCTCCCATCCATAAGCTCGGAAGAAGAGCAATATACACACAATGGCTCCGACAGGACCTCCGAGACGCTTCAAGGTGGAGCCTATAGAAACATCCACATCGTCTTCGAAAGACAGACGTGCAGAGGAACAGACTGAGAGGCCAAAACTGGTCCGGAAATTCGCACCGGAACCACTGGAGACTACCACCAAGTCTAATCGCAAGTTCGCTCCCGAGCCGGTGGAGACGACGGTCAAGACGAATCGCAAGTTCGCGCCTGAACCAGTTGAGACGACACAAAGAACGAACCGCAGATTTGCACCCGAGCCCGTTGAGACCAGCCAGAGGACGAATGCTCACACCGCGTCTGACCCTCCAGAGATCATTGTCAAGAGTCCGCTGAGTCCTAGCCGCCAGAGGTTCGCTGAGGAATGGGGCCAGCAACCATCTCCAAGAAGGTTCAAACCAGAACCGTTGGGAACCACATCGTCGAGCAATCGCAAGCCCAAGCCTATATTGAAGCGCGCCTCTGGGAAGTTCTCACCACAACTCATTGAGACTGCCCAGCGACATCGCAAAGCATCGGACAACGCCCCAGCTTTATACCCTGCGGACAAGACCGACGCCACTCCTGATACCATAAGTCGTCGTAGAGCGAGAATTTTGGGCATATCACCGAGTGCACCAGTAAACTCACCATCTATCGATGTGACCCAGAATCCCTTGTTTCTTGAGGTTGAGAAGGGATACGCATCCTGTCCACTAGCACGGCGGCGCTCCTACTTTAGCTCGTCCCAACATTCTTTCCGCATTCCCGACCTAGATCCCATCGAGTCGTCTGAATCTGAAGCCTCGACGCCGTCGTCACCTTCGACGTCACCCCTCAAGCACGATCACTCTTTTATGTACACAGAGGTCACTCGGAGAAGGGAAAGTATCGACGACGCGTCAGCTGGATATCTGTTGGAATTGGCTGCTAAGACTGCAGAGAAACAGTTGAGAGAGCAAGCCATGGCCGCCTTTCCAAACGACGATTATCACGAGCCGATTGCGCACTATGTGACTCGGGATTCAGACGAGCTTGACTCACTTGGGAATGGAGGGCGATCATTCACTGAGATCAATTGGGAACTGGAAGCTATGCAGAAGTATCAGGAGAACCAAAAAGCCGAGAAGGAAAAAGAGAAGGAGAAGGAGCGACAACCAGACCAGACCAAGAAGCCGGCATACAATCCATTTGGCAACCCAGCTGGCTTCCTAGACTCCGCTACAGCCAAGAAACTTGCGCAAGATGCGGGCAATCCTGAGATGGCTCGCATGCGGAAAAGTGCTCGTCCACCAATGCTCGGAAGTGACATCAGATTTCCGCGGTGTGATTCACCAGAACCTTCACGATTCGATCCTACACAAGGATGCGATGCCGTCAAGACTGCCATGTGCTACCTCTCAGAGCAGACTAAAGCTGCTTCGGAGAAAGGAGAGTCTCTGTGGTGTGGACAGGGTAACGGCAGGCAGACCAGCACAACTCCTTCGCTGTGGTCGACTGCAAACAGTCGAGCATCAAGTACGCACGGTCTTTGGGGTGGAATGTGTATCAGCACCGGTGATAAGTCACCACGTGGACCTACAGGCATTTTGACACCAATGCACGAGAAGCCAAACCCCATGTCACCCTGCCCCACACCTTCAACGAGCTTGTTACCACCAACGCCTCCCGCATCAACAACAGACTTCAGTAGCATTGACGAAAAGCTTGCAGTCGAGCAGACCATTGCCGATGACTTCTCAGACGATTTTGTCACGCAAGTTTACAACTACTTGTCGCTTGGATACCCATCCATGGCCCGCCCTTTTGATGCCGAGCTTTCTAAGATATCTGGCATTCCACTCGTCGAACTCCGGCAAGACGACCACCTCGCTGCGTCAAGAGGATACATTCGCCTCGGCAAGGACGGCAATCTCACTGAGAATGAGATCACAGAAGAGACATGCTCCCGCTGGCGTGCGCTCCGAATCTATATTCAAGAATGGGCGAGACAGCACCCGAACATGGCCGAGGAAGAGATTCCCTTTGGCGGCCGTGGAACTGCTGTCCGCAAGGGAAGCTGGGCCCTTTGAGAGTCTTCTACATCATATTGCGACATAAGCCGGCGTTCCTTCTGGTATCATTTAACAGCCTGGTACGGTTGCGGCATGCGATTGGTTTCTTGTTGCATCTTTAGCGCTTTATAGTACATGCAGCGTTTTTGTTCTTTATTCTTACCATATACTTCTTTAGGGATGCCCAATTTGTAGACTGTGTTAGAGAAGGAAGATATTGTGAAATTGAATTGAGAACTACAAATCTACTCAACTAGCCCGACATTGGAAATTGACGAATGCGTTGCTTCACCATGCTGAAATGGTCTGCGTACGCTTCCAACATGGGCCTCTGAAGAGCAACGCTGACAAGTCTAGCTTCATGCGGCGAGATCAGCCGCCGTCTTCCGCTGGCCAGTCCATGGATGTGCCTGCATTTCTTTACACATCGTCTTACCGGGCTTACTATACTAACTCGACTTCCAATGCTTGAATTGTCCACAAGCCATCGTACGCAATCACAATATGAGCCATCCTGCGCGCGCTCGTAACGAGCAAACGGCATGATCAAACTGCGTCGCCGGCCCAAAATTAAAGAACGTCATTGTCGATCAAAATTCCGTAGAGTGCTCGCCATTCCTGGCTGTCGGTATCTTCATTCTGCGTGCCCAGCACCGAGAAAAGTCTTGGTATACGCCGACCTTCCCAGCAGTGTCAAGTCAACGAGAGCTATCTCTGCCAAGTTTGCCGCTGCTCCGCAACGCAATCTGCCAAGCAACACTCGTGCTCCGGCGTCCTGAACGACGGATACTGCGATGCGCGCGCAAGACAGGGAATCGCACAGGGACGTCCGTGTGGCAGTGCGCATCTGTGGTCCTGGAGTGATTGAGCTTCCTGAAGCGGCAGTAGTCCGAGTACACCGAGCTGCCTAATTCAGCAAGGCTGCCAATGCAGTACTCCAGTGCCCAGCCCGAGTAGATAATTTCCAAGAACATTCGGCCAGGAGCTTCGAGAAAGTGAGTACCAGTGAAGACGAATTGAACATGCAGTGCAAGAGGGGCGACGCAGCTGCTTGTATAAATATGCATGCTGCCAACAACCTGCTCAAACCCGCTCACCTGCACTGCTCCACTGTCCAGCCGCCAAGATGAAGTTCTCCCTCGCAGCCCTGGCTTTGCCTCTTGCGGCTAATGCTGCGTCCTTCTCCAAGTCGGAGTATGCGTCCGGCGCGGTGCATCAGAAGTTGATGAAGCTCAAGACTGAGCAGTGGGATCATGATGCAGCCGAGGGCAAGCAGGATTCCAGGCAGTGGGCTTCGTGGCATGCGAAGCCTGGCCCTAAGAAGGACCGCGTTGAGTGCAAGGATGGTGTTGCGGTTGTTCAGGCTGGAAACAGCTCGGAGACTTTCCGATGCAACAACGTTAGTATTTCCCTGCTTTGACACTTGAGGCAATCGACTAACTCGATACAGATGGACTTGTACGACTTCATGAACCACGCTGATATGGGTGGTCCTGAGGGTCGTGGCTCCTCGAGCTGGGGCTGGACTGCTAAGAACGGTCGAGAGTTCGGTATCGTCGGCCAGTGTATGTTTTTGTCCATTCCAAACACAATGTTCGATACAAAAACTAACTTGCATTTTCAGTCAGCGGTGCTGCGTTCGTTGAAGTTCTCAAGAACGGTAAACTCCAATACTTGGGACGTCTCCCAGCACAGAGCGAGGGTTCAAGGTGGCGCGAGATCCGTGTGCTCAATGACTATGTCATCATCGGCAGTGAAGCCGTTGGCCACAACGTTCAGAGTAAGTCGTACCCTAATTCTTCGGATTGCAAAACAATGCTAACATAGTTTAGTCTTCGACATGAAGAAGCTCCTCGATGTTGACCCCAAGAGCCCGGTCACCTTCGACCCCAAGAAGGACCTTGTTGGTCTCTGGGACCAGCTCCCCATCGGACGTACTCACAACGTCGTTATCGACTGGGACAACGAGTATATCCTCGCCGTCGGCGCCCAGCCACGCAACCAAACCTGCGCCGCAGGTCTCCAGTACATCGACCTTGCGGACCCCACCAAGCCCACCTCCCCCGGCTGTGCCAGCCAAGACGGCTACGTCCACGACGCACAATGCGTAACCTACAACGGCCCGGACCGCCGTTTCCGCGGCCGCAACATCTGCATCGGCTACAACGAAGACACAATGACCGTCTACGACTCAACCAAGAAAGACGGCAACCCGGCCTCCGAAGTCCTCTCCCGCCTCTCCTACCCCGGCGCCACCTACTGCCACCAGGGCTGGTGGACCGAGCGCAACTGGCACCAATACGTCCTCCTCAACGACGAGCTCGACGAGCAAGAAGGCAACGGCCCCGCTGCATCGGGTTACCCCGTCACCCACATCGTCGACCTGACTGACCTGCGCGCGCCCAAGTACACGGGTAACTTCAACGCCACGGATTCGAAGGGAATTGACCATAATCTGTATATCGTTGATGGCTTGGCATACCAATCCAACTACGGCGCGGGTATCTGGGTGCACGATGTTCGTTCTATTGCCAAGGACCCCTCCGGCGCGAAGGTTACCGTTGAAGGCTTCTTTGACATTTACCCCGAGGACGATGCGGTTGGTGGTGTTGTACAGTTTGTCGGCACGTGGAGTCACTTCTTGTTCCCATCGGGCTTCATCCTGGTGAACACGATTGAGCGCGGTGCGTTTACTGTTAAGTTGGCGAAGGGACGGGGAGCGGGCAAGGGGCCGGGCTTTGGAGGGAAGAGTAAGGGCGGGCCGGTTAGGCCGTAGAATACTAGATGGTTGAGATGTGGAGTAATTGATTAATTGGCAAGTTAAAAGTATGATTTGCGTGATTTTGATTTGTGAGCAAGGGAAGTGTTATTGTGGTGTGTTTTTTTCAGGTGCGACTTGACTATAGCAGATGAACACTGCGTGCTTTGGCAAACAGAGGTCATGCTAGGCTTGATATGGAGGCTGCGATAGACTGTAAAACCAGCTCAAAGTCGAGCAGACTTGCTACTCTGATTGAGGCAGTATTTCGAGTTAAGACTAGTTTTGGCTATCAGGTGGTGATACTTCTCGAGGAAGTAAGTGCTGCATTTCCGGTTTGGGCCTACCATGGGTAGCATACAAGCGACAGCGGCGGTGAAGTGGGGCGGATATCATCTATTTGCCAAAGCATGCGGTTTTCACGCTTTCGAAAGCTACTTCAAGACTTTGCCTACACTGTCCAATGGCTTTAAGCCTTTTCTCTAGGCAGAACACTTGGCACTCACTACACGTTGTCAGCTACGAGGGGATGGTGTGCCTAATCGTTACTCATACTAGCTGTCAGGCTGAACAATTTTATATACTGCTCTGCACACGTTGATCGATGCTCATCGATCATTTGTGCCTTCCTCATTGCATGGCGTGGTGCGTGCAGACCTGCGCAGACACTGGCTGCAATTGTCATTTGGTCGGTTTTCGTCGTAGCTGACAACATACATTGAGAAAATGAGTAAATAGGGACGTTGCAGTAGCTGAATAACGACTTTTCTGACTGATCGAACGTCATACGGGTGGTCCAATCCATGCCAGATGGAACCCGACTAGTCTGAATGTGGACAGGGCACACGCACCTCCAGGCTCTCGCCTTGAGCTCACAATCTGTCTCATTTCATGCTTGACAATTTCACTGTTTGATACGGAAACAGAGACAGCGGCCTCAATTCTAAAGAGATTGGCTACATATTGTGCAATAACCTTACCGATATCATCACCTCTTTCCGCGTACGCCAACGGAGGTCCGCGGAGTCGATAAGTATTTCAGTCGAGATGTAAGCACCATTCCTTCTAAATAGAGGCTCAAATAACAGCATCAGAACATCCTGGCTAAGCCATGTCTCAAAAGCCTGATGACTGTATGCTCACATGCGGACACCCCGCGCAGCTATGACCCCGTCCCGGTCAGACGGGGAAACAAAACGACCCAAAAGCCACCAAGTGACCCTACGCTAGACGCACCGATTGGTCCAGGAAGCGATTCTTTCGGGCTGAAGACAACACGAAAGCCCATCACGGGCTCTCAATTAAGCTTCAGCCATGGCCTTGTAGCGGTGTACGACTTCAGTGTTTGCTTTTGGTACCACAAGCCAACACGGCTGAACAGCGCTCAGTGGTGCTCACCGGTACAAACAAGCGGCCCGTGCCGAGAACTGGGATACAAGGACCTCAGCAGACACGGCATCGTATGGTTGGAGAAAGTGATCCGGAAGGTGGCGTTACAGGCATTGATAATGCAGTCATCATCACATCTTCAGGATCGACATTGGCTGGGTTCCAGTTCCGCAAGCGACATATTCCATGGGCGGCAACGTGCATTAGTTGCAACTGTAGGTGAGCAGCCACACTAGCATAATGAGTCTCTTGGAGTACCCACGCGACTACTTTCTGGAGTTCCAGACACTTTTCGATAGTATGGCATCATTGAGAACATGGTCAGCATAGTTTGCCATTGTGTGTACTGGAGCGGGGCAGATTGACGACGGAGATGCAATTGATCAAAACTAAGGCTAAAGCAGACAGCCACCCATTCGTTCCGATCCCTGCGATGCGATGATTTTGTTCACTGCCGAAAGTATCGTTGGATGGACAAGTCCGGCAGACGTAATTACTTTTTGAAACAGCAATTGACTTGCAACGCCTCTGAACATAGACTCTGCTATCAAATCGAGATATCCCTATCCCACAAGAACGCCACTAAAGGTATGCGCGAGGGCTCAACGCCGAAGGGAATGCTAAAATCGCATCGACTGAGAAATTCCAACGGTTGACGTGGAAACAAGGCCCAACAACTGATACGTGTAGGCGTCATCAGGCACCTGTGCCTGTACTGTAAGTTTTCGATTACAACGAGTTCTCCATCTTGACTAATTCGTCGAAAGCTTCGCGCCACCCATGTGCCTCATCCTTCGAAGGCCTGGGGAGCGGCTTGCGGGCATATCCTCCGTAGCCGAAGTGTGACATGAGACCGGCCTTGGTGCCAATGATGCCTCCTTGGATGGCCGCCCAGTCGCCGCGAGCAACGACAGCTTGCAATTTGCGAGCTTCGGCGAGCTTTCCTGCTTCGAAAAGCTCAATGAGTTTGACGCAGCACTTTGGAGCGATGTTGGCCATGCCACCAATGATGCCAGAGCCACCTCCAATAAGAGTCTGGAGGGTGAAGTCCACGGATCCTCCCATGCACATGAAGCCGGATCCGGGATCTGATACCGTGGCGGCGTGAGTGGCTGAGGCAACGCGATTGAGCTTACCAGTGTTTCCACAGGTGAGCTTGCAGCCGACGATGTTGGGATGTTGTGCCAACTCAATGATGGTATCTGAGTTGAGATCGAGTCCTGAAACAGCGCCGGGATAGTTGTAGATGAGGATGGGGATGGGCGAAGCAGTTGCGACATCCCGGAAAAATTCCTTTACGGTCTCTTTGGAGAAAAGTCCTTGGTAGTAACCAGGCGGCAGAACCAAAGCATAGTCTCCGCCAGCGGAGGCCGCTTCTTCGCAAAGCTCGATGGATTCCCGAGTCGACTGAGCTCCGCAGCCAACAATGACGGGCATGTATCCGAAGCCAGCGTCGTCCAATGCCTTGCGGGTCGTCTTGGTGATTAGATCACGCTCCTTGTGGGACAGATGAACAGCCTCGCCATTGGATCCTTGGGTGGTAATGCCTGCAACACCGGCCTTGGCCAGACGAACGGCATGGTTGGCGGTGGTCTCTACGTCGACATTGTCTGTTGCAGGATCGAAAAATGCTACAGTTGGGACATAAATTCCAGGAACCAGCGTGCGCCGGATGCCTACGTCCGCAGACTCCATTGAGCTGGTCTCGAAGTCGTTGTAGTGGTTCATTGTGTAGATGGATTGGACAGCTTGATGAAAACCTGATCCAGTGGTGAAGCTATGTGCTGGAGAAGGTGCGTCGTGGTGTGGTGACATGATGGGAAGGGACTTTTAAGCGGCAGTCAAATAGACTTTTATACTAATGGGACTTGCAGACCGAAGCGGAGACTTTTGACAAAGAATTAAGCGGAACGCCAAACGACGAACGGAACGGATACGTCAATAGTGGATGTTTGGTCTCCAACCGTGGCGTGTACTGGTACTTAAATATTTCAAACGCCGGGCACACGCTGCTACGGTGAACGACGCAATTCAAGTGTGGGGGTCCAGCTGACGGCTTTCGTCAGGAGATACTAGGATGGCAGGCACAGCAAGGTGCGCGCGACTGCACCCGGGAGGGATGCACAGGCGTCTTGGTGACGACCAAAGGGGCGGTGACTCCCGCAGCGTGCGAGGACGCAGCCGATGCCAGGCACAGCTGTTTGCGGACGGCGAGCTGGCAAGGACACGGCCAATGAACGAAGCTTGCATTGCTGATTGAAACGGGGGTTGCTTTTTTCGCTCACGTTGCAGCGAGCGCTGGCAGGGGCTAAGAGGCTGTGGGTACCGGATCTTGGCCGGAGGTGCACAACAAGGGGGCGTCGCCTTGTGACGATCGCTGGAAGCGCGGTCTGGACGCTGATAGGGCGATCATGTCCACAGACAGAACCATACGAAGGGTTGATGGGCCTCGTATGAGCGTTGATGGGTACCGTTCAGGGATCTTAGTGTGGGGGTGGGGGCAAGCGTGCGAGCCGGCGTGAATTGAGGGGGCTCAGCGCACGCCTCTTCGCATCATCTGATTTCCGTCGACAACCCCGGCTTCTCCATTTCTCGTCGTGGTCCCAGTCACCGCTGCCGCCACTTCTCCGTGACCACTCGGGACGTGCAGCAGGCAATGCAGAGGGTAACAGAAACAAGACTGTATGAAGCGGTAATGCAAGAATGCAAGACGTGGCAGATGCAGTCGTGGAGCCGCAGCTCGGCAGGGTTGTCACAAGACCTCGCAGCATCCATTTGATGTGACGAAGTCTCGACCCAGAAGGTTTCGGAGCGGCTGGCTCATGATTACACAACGACCAAGGATGACGACGCCGATCGCTTGTCGTGGTATGAATTTCTCCCCCCCACGCTTTGCTGCTCTCGGTGGCACCATTTGGCCAAAGCGTAGGTTCCGGTGTCGAGGCTCGTCCAACTTCACGCCTCCAGCATCTTCCTCACTGCAGACACGGCAACATGAATCGCAGCTCATACTAGCGGCCACATCACTATCTCCCTCGACAGCAGCCATGCACTTTCCGGATACGTGCTCCGCATGACTGTTACGGGGCAGCCGAGGTTTACTCTGACGGAGCCCAACGCCAAAGCAGCAGGTGTGCAGGTCAATAATACAGAATGCGCATCTGCAGTGTGGACCGCGTGGTGCTGAGCCACTCGGCGTTCACGGACAAACCGAGAATCCGCAGCAGCGGTTACGCATTTGCTGTTTGTGCTCAGGGACCAGCATCATCAGAGGGAATGTTTGAGCAGCCTCGCACATTGTGCTGTACCTGATTATCGGTGGATCTCGGTGTTGGTTCCCCCACGCCAAAGATCGTCTGTGGTGGCAAGTTTCGTGCTAGCAAGTGCTGGACAAAGGTTACACTGGCCAGACCCTGACCACATAACGGGAAATTTCTTCCTTTGATCTAGGGCTCAGTTGTCCAGTGTGGGAAATCCGGAAAGCGACTCATGGCTATCGCAGCGAATCAAATCCATCCTTGACATGCACAGGGAGTGCATAACTTGTGCCAGAAAGCGTCACAGCAGCGCATACGGAGGTCACGCAATGCTGTACGTGAGCCCATGACTGCATTTGCTATACAAAGCATTGGCAATACGCGCTTTCGAACACCCATTCAACATGAAGCCTCGCGCAAGCGAACGCCGAATATGAGCCGAAGATTGACGCCAACACACGAGCTATTACCCCACAATCCGCATGTTCCGAGGGTGGCGCTCCCCCGCCTTCTTACTACGTTCGACCGTCTGATCCTCTGGCATGCATGATGCCCGGTCGTTCTCGCGATTGCCTTGTCATCCAGCATGGCTATTTCTATGCGCTGAAGCCCTGAATATGCAAGCAATATGTCAGACGTCAGCCACAGATGCTGCCCAAGACAAATCAAGGGTCAAATCGTCCGCCCATCTCGCTCAACGCGTCTAGAGATTTTCAAAACGTACCGTCTTCGCCTTCGTGCGGAAGCCTTGCATATTGCCATCCCACATCCTCAAGACGAAATGTGTAGGCTCCAGCAGGTTCGCTCCGCCTTTTCCACAATCACGAAGTGCATTGTGGGTCAATATAGTTGGCCAACTCTGAATTTTCGTCCGCGGGATAAAATGTGTCACAGGTGGATCCTGCACACATTCGAGTTCAACGGTTGAGCGACCACGGAAATAGAGCGGGTGCATCTGCATCCCTGTGGTGAGACGAAGAGTCTGCAGAAGAGGGGCTATGCACTTTGTCCAGCCTAGGCCAGACTCTCTTCTTGAAGCGAGAGCGAGGTACAGTTACAGACATTGCATGCACGCATAGTAACACACGTATGACAATGCATCGCATGCTCTCGGTGAAGGCGATTGTCCAGAGCTGTCATGATCATACAACTGGACATGGAGGCTGATAGTTGCATTTGTAAGCTTTGAGGAACAGAATGACTTGGAAGACAGGAGCTTCTACAAGTATACCATCTCGTTCTATACTGACGTATATCCGGTTAATTTTGCACGACGGACATGGCCGCTCTCTCGATCATCTGTCGTTCGTCTCCGTCGGCTCCACAACCAGCACCATTCAAGCAAGACTCCTGTAGAAGTGGCAAGAATCTTAATCGAACAATGGTTTGCCGATCTAGGAAGTCTCGTGGGGGTTGTCGGATGCACAACTTACACAAGGTCGGGAAATGAAACTTTACCGTTCCGACTGCGGCAGTTGTAGTCAGGTCGTGCTGGCCTGCAATGTTGCACCCTGATTTGCCAATGAAAGAGCCTCATTCGATTGCACTTGGAGCGATTTGCGTGGGATATGCCTGCTCAGTCGCACGCATGCTTTCCTAGACAAGCAGTCAGTGTGGGATGCCAAGCATATCCAGCTCAACCTCACTTCGTTGAGAATGCTCCCGACTTTGACCGTTTGCCTCCTCAACAATCCTCTGAGCACGAATGAGCAAGGCTTTTTGCTTGCGATCAACATGAGCTGCCCTTCAACATCCCACGCTTTTGAGGCCATAAGATCCACAAATCAGAAAGATGCTGGGGTTAGATGTACCGGTACTTCGAGGTTCAGGTCACACTCCGTTCCATCATCGACACCGATCACTCCCATGATCATACGAGTCAGCGGACAGGGTATATGCAAGGCGTACGGTCGTTGCGCGAATAACGGCTATCTTATTGACCACCTTAGACGGCCATCGGGAGCAATAGCATCGCCCGACAACCGAGGAACTCCATGTGAAAGAACCTTATAATAACGGGATATTGTTGCAGATTCCCCCGTACCCGAGCTATGTGGATTCATTTCCCGTATGCAAGTGCAACATGGTGAAGCGACTCTGCCTCAACACACCATAGCAAGCTTGAAGTCATTGGGCAAGACTACCCCATTGATGCTTCACTTGGCAAAGGAATTTCCTCTGTGATCACTGCTGGCAGGAAGAGCCATGCGCCTTGCCGGATCTACGCGCAAAATGTGGCGCAGACGTGGCGCATAAGGCGTGTAATAGTCACCAGACTCGAACTCTTCCGTGCGGTTCTACATGATTCGCTAGCTTCCCGCGCCAGAGTATCAACAGTTGCTGTGCTGATGTCCGCGGCCACGGAGAGGTTCATAGTCCAGACAGTATCACATTTGGTGCAACCCATACAGTGTGGTCGTCATGGACTTGATTCGAGATAGAGTTGTTGAGTAGTTGCCTCATTCTGTTGACATTTCTGATACTTTGACAGCCGCTCGAATTGTATGAACACAAACATCAAACTACATCAAACATGTTATAATCATTACCTTGTCTTAACACCCCGCCAAACCGGCGACTACGGTACCGTGTGACACGGCGAGAGCCAACCGACATCTGTCTTCGCCACCACCCAACAATCCCATCATTCCCGCACCTACAAAATTTCACATGCCGCATCTCACTACCCCAATCCAATCCCGGAATCCGATAAAACCCAGGTAACAATTCCTATCTTCCACCAATAAGTAGCACTCGGATCTTTTGCCGAACACCAAGCTGACTCGCTTAAATTTTGCCGCCTGACCAAAAACCCCAGTTCTCTTTACAAATCGTGGGGTAGCAGCACACCACTACGAGTATCGCTTGGTTTAGTAGAGCACACCCACTTTTTTTTCCTGGGACTGACGGGGTGGTAATTGTGTTCCTGGTTGGGCTTTTGGGGTGTGGGTATTGAGTCGCTAGATCCGCGAATATCCGTAGAGTGGTCGGTGTAGTTGGAAGCGAGGAGCACCGTGAAGAGTTGATACTCTAGTAACAATGCGCTGCTTGTTGCGCAGAGTCTTGATTGCGAACCTATCATCGCTTGTAGGCATCAGATCTAGCATCGCATGGACATACTCGATCCATCACATCAGATACGGTTTTCGCGACCGAGGTATCCACGACCTCAGGCGGCCAGTCTTGACTGCAATCACATCTCCGCCGAGCAAGCAAGCATAGCAGTCTATTCACGTTTCGCCAAGTATTCATATCAAGAGACTTTCATCATCTGTAGATAAAAGTACAAGCATCATCCTAACCTCCCATGCTCCTCGGAAAAAGCAAGTCCATCACGGGCATCGACCCCTGGCTCTAAATACCAAAATAGCTTGCGCGCGGCACTCTGGAGACTTGCTTTTTCC